GTATGCCAGATGATCCTGACACTTGCAGTATACTAGTGCGAGCTGCAAGGATATAGCGCCATGTATGAGTGAGTATCGACATCCAGCTCGTCAATCGTACAAACTGTGTACATTCCACAATGTCATGTGCAAAATGTGCGTGCCATGTCACCACACGTGGCTACTACTGTGTGATGATTCCAGGCTATAAGTCAACTGCCCCACAAACTGGACTCAGATACACTATGACTAGATGACTGCAGCCTAATGGTCATCTGTGCGTTCACATATGATATGTGTGGACAAAGATCGAATCCGTGCTGGACTAATGATGCTGAATTCCAGTCCAGCTCTCCTCTACATGTGGAACACGTTTGTTCTGGGTTGTCCTGGTCCACCATATGATAGTGGGAAGGAGCTCACCTGTTGTTGGCTCTCAATTAAACTTATCTATCAATAATATACTACTGGTACTTCCTTTAAATGATGATTATTCTCATGCTGAAACCCTCACAATTATCACAGGAGAGATAGTTGATAGAAAAGCAAAATACGTTACTCCTTTGTTCACATTACGTTATGTAAGTTCTTCTACTTGTGAGCTGAAGAAGAAAATGGTTGTGGACATATGTGAAACAATCTTTGGAAGAGAAAAACAAACAAGACAGCAAGTAGCCAGCTCTCAGTTAGGGAGCTGGTGGTGTGCAGGTACTCGGATGGGCTATGGTGTTGTTGCTTGTTTGGGTATGCTTGGGCGCTGTGGTGGGTGGTGTGTGGTTTGTAGGTGGTGTTAAGTTGTCGCGTTTTGAGGAGTGCTTGGCGTTTGACAATCGGCGCGATATTATACATTCCCAAGTCGATAGCCTACACATACGCCAAAGCTGACTACTCACAAACATTTAAGTTCTCACCTATGCATTGTGTCTGTGAAAGTCATCAGACATTTGATAGTCATGAGTCACACAAGAGCATGGAACACTACCCTTACTGCATGTGTAATACTTATCTTTACCGCTTAAAATGGAATAACTCCTGCAACCTATATAGCATAATAAACAGTACCGTTTTAAATTATTGAATGAGGACTATATCACCATCCATATGAGTTACATTCTTAAAAAAGAAAAACCCATTGTATTGCACTGACTACGAGGAATGCTATCAGGATTTGGCTCTCCTTGTCTCAATTCAACAATCCAAGTAATAACAAATGGCTAGTCCAGGAATCAGATTCCACTGCATCGAAGTTTAAGTACATGTGTCCTGTGTTGCCAAAATATTTCCCTTGTTGTTAGGATGTTGTGAGGAGGTCTGTCTGGTTTGGAGAATTGGATGGAAATGTGTCTTCAGAGGAGAGTCAAGCAGAGTCACTCACGTCAACAGTAATATAAGATCACAGAGTAGTCAAGACAGCTATATTGTGGCTAAGAGGATATCAATTGCATGAAGTTTGTTACTATACATTGTTCCAGTTTAGACATACACTTAACCATCTGTACAAACTCTCTTGCAAAGTCCAGACAACCTCTTGAAAGAACTGCATTATCAGTAATGAATCTTGGTGCAGCTTTTAGATTCTTTAGTAGGAAAAAGAACAGAAATAATATAGGCTCATATTTGTAGTAACCAGAGAGTTTACTGGTGAAAGTCCATCAGTCCTGCTGCTCTCTTCACACCCTGACAGCTAAGAAAAGAGCACAAAAAAATGTAAGAATAGCAAGTCCGAGACCATCTTTCTTGGAGAATCCGCAGCATCATAACACTCTGTTTACACACTGTCTCCCCCAGTTCTCTACCAGTGATCTCAGTTTACCTCTGCCTTCCCTCTCATGATGTTATCACTGCCTTTTCCCAGCATCCCTAGTGATATTGCTGCCTATCACCATGTCTCAGTAGTACACTCCCAGGACAGTAGTGTGTTTGCTTACGCCAAAAAACATGAAGCAACCCGTGTTGCTTATGCCAGTTCCATTTTGATTGTACATTCTGTACATTCACTTTCCATTTACTCTGCTCCCTCTTCGTTTCAAGTACTCTGCTGTCCATTGGCGGGGATTGCCACATGCTCTTCTAGCAAGAATTGAGCCAATAAACTCACTAATGAAGTCTTCCCCATTGAGCACAGTCAGCCTCAGTGTGGTTCTAAGCTGGGCCATCCACTACTACGAGTATCTTTCCTTCTGTCAGTTTGAGTTGCACGGCATTTGGGTCTTCATGTTGTTCACCAAACACTAATAGAGATGTGGACTTCACTACTACACCTTACCCACTGACACTTCTTAGACATCCCAATTCTGTTTCTCCTGCACAATTGTACATGCTTAGTGAAAATATGGTGATAAGATCATTGCCTAAAACAACTAAGTATCCCTAAGAGCTATTCCATGACATCCTCTGACGTAAAATGACTCTGCTTCTTGCCAGTATAAAAGGGATATCCTACTCCCCATACACACGTCTGAGAGCTTCTATCATCGAGTTTTCACAGAAGATGGAGTTGCCAAAGTGTGCCTTGATTCTAGCACAATAGTAGTTGCCTTTCTATTTCCTTTGCCCAAAATGAAGGTGAGAGAAGCAAATTTCTGAGAATTCAATGTACACTAAGAAATGATGCCTGTGTGGTCCATCACAGGAGGTAGTCAAGTAAGTGTCCACCAAGTGGAGGTACTGAGAGGTAGGGATGGGAGAGATGGAGGAAGAGGTCCAGCTGGACCACCTGGTCTACCTGGACCTACAGGAACCAATGGGCCACAGGGAGAGAGGGACTGCAGGGAATGTTAGGCCCCCTGGGGATTAGTGAGAAAAAGGAGATCATGGGACAAGGGAGATCGCGGGGACACTGGACTAACTGGACCTCAGGGACCACTAGGAGCCCCAGGTCCTCTTGCCATGGGAGGAGCTGTCTATGTTCGCTGGGGAGGACTGTTTGTCCAGTGGCCAGGAACTGAGCTGGTGTACTCTGGGAGAGCTGGAGGGAGTCGATATAATCACCGTGGAGGGGGTGCCAACCATCTCTGTATGCCAGATGATCCTGAACACTTGCAGTATACTAGTGGAGTGCAAGGAAATAGCTACATGTATGGAGTGGAGTATCGACCACATTCTCAACCGTTACAAACTGTTAATTACCACAATGTTCCATGTGCTGTGTGCCATGTCACAACACGGGCTACACTGTTGATGATTCCAGCTAAAGTCAACTGCCCCACAAACTGGACCACAGAGTACACTGGATACTTGATGACTGAACGCTATGGTCATCATCGTTCCACATATGAATGTGTGGACAAAGATCCCGAATCTGTTGCTGGACTAAATGGTTCTAATGACTATCAAGCTCTCCTCTACCATGTGGAACCCATTTGTACTGGGTTGTCCTGTCCACCATATGATAGTGAGAAGGAGCTCACCTGTGTGGTGTGCTCTCATTGAAAACTTATCTATCAATAACATACATACTGTGCACTTCCTTTGATGATGATTATCTCATGCTGATAAACCCTCAAAATTATCACAGGGAGAGATAGTGTAGATAGCAAAGCAAAATATACTGTACTTCTTTGTTCACATTACGTATGTAAGTTCTTCTTACTTGTGGAGCTGAGGAAGAATGGGTTGTGGACATGACGTGAAAGATCTTGTGGAAGAGAAACAAACAGACAGCAAGTAGCTATCTCTCAATAGGGGAGTTGGTGGACAATCAGGACGCTATATTAATATTCTCAAGGTGTGATCAGCCTACACATACGCTAAGCTGACTACTCACAAACATTAAGTTCTCACTATGGCATGTGTTGTGAAAGTCATCAAGACATCGATAGTCATGAGTTCACACAGAGCCATGGAACACTACCCTACTGCATGGTGTACTTGATGTAATGTAATAATCCTGCAACCTATGCACAATAAACATAGGTGACGAGTACTGATCACCATCCATCTAACATTCTTAGAAAAGTGGTACAATTGCAGAACCATTTACTATAGGAATGCTATCATGGATTCTCAAAGCAGGTCTGAGCATTCCCTATGCTCACTAAACCATCAGAGTAACAAACGGCTGAGTCCAAGGAATGACATGGAAGTTTATACAGTACACGTGGTCCAGTTTGCGAAAAAAATTCCTTTGGTAGGATGGTTCTTAGTAGGTCTGTCTGGGTTATGATAATTGGATGGGAAATGTTTCTGCAGAGCTATAGCTGAGTAACAAAAGGAGAGTCAAGGTTTGCTTTCTTAGAGAAGGCTGGGAAAGAGCAATAACATCATGAGAGGGAGGTAGAGTAGCTACTCTCGTTCAGTAATATCGAGATCAGAGTCGCCAGAGTACAGTATGGTGATGAGTGCAGGGATAGAAGTTAATCGTACAGTTACATGTGGTCCAGTTTAGACTATACTTCGCCATCTATACAATGCTCTCTTGCAAAGTCAGACCAGACCTCTTCATATAATCTGCATCAGTTCCTTTTGTAATTGCACCTGCAATGTGGATGGTGGAGCTTTAACAAAATGGGGAGATGGATAGGCTCACATTGTTAGTGTATCTTTTACTGTAGCTAGAGGATTGATTAGAGTGAGCCGAACAGACCTGCTCTCTTGAGCACCCTGACAGCTAAGAAGAGAGCAAAAATGTTTTGTTAGAGATCCTCCTAGTAACAATGTCCGAGACCATCTGAACCTCGCAAGAGTCGTTGTGTGTCGATAACCAGCTGCTGTTTACACACTGTCTCCCCCACTGTTTCTCTACCAGTGGTTCTCAGAGTACTCTGTCTTCCTCTCTCATGATGTTATCGCTCCTTTTCCCCCAGCATTCCGTAGTGATATTGCTGCCTATCACTGGTCTCAGCTCCTGTAGTTTGTACATCTACTTTCACCTGAACTATTCAGCTCTGCTTTCCTGTGAGTCTATCTTGGCTTTGATGATGTTCAATCTTCTTTGACTACGGCCCCCCAGTTATTTTCAAGGGAAACCACTCAGTGTGTTGTGGACATTTCACATATGCACCATGGTTCAGCTCGAATACTGTGACATGAGGTCGTCTTGATGACTTTAATGTCACAGGCCATAGTAATGTTTGTGAGTATACACCCTGTTATTTATTTGAGCTTATAAAAGGCTCTGGGAGCCTGCAATACCTAACCTGAATGCAGCCTAGGTACCCACGCACAGACATACTATGCCTGCAGCCGATATCATTATATAGTCAGATCTCTGCTACCCTAGCCTTGTAGCCAGGCACTTTTGCAGGGTAAGGAGAAAGAGCCTATAGTACAAATGTGCATTATTATGCCTGTATGCGGTGTGTACGATGAACACTAGCTACCACTAGTGACATGCACACTACACTGTCTTGTGACTCTGAAACATTTCAAAGTCACTGTGAGCCACAAGCAGCCCATAGATGGTAACTGTAGCTACGTATGATGAACACTAGCTACACATACACACTACACTGTCTTACCAGACATATATATACTTGTCACTCTGAAACCCCATAGATGGTAAACTAGGTCCAGCTGATTCTCTCGTGTGCATTGGATGCTTAAAACATAGTCGTGGAAATAAAATGTGGGAGTATAATATCGAAACACCTTACTTACATTTCTAATCCCTTTTAAGCTTCTACCCTACATGGTTTACAACTAACCTTACCTGGTGCAGTGAGCTTGATCCGAAATCGTTTTTGAAATGAAAGATCCACCGAAGGTTGATGTTTTTCTGCCCCTGGGTGTCCATCCGAGTGTGACCACGAGGGTGTGCTGTTGTGTCTGCATGTCGTGCCTCCTCTGAAAATGTCTGGAACAGTTTGGACAGCCAAAGTGTGCATGATCCAGCATTCAATTTGCTGCTTCTGACCGCCACGTTGCTTCAGGCTCAAACAACGGCTGCTTGGCAGAGCTTCTTGTGCATAATGGGTACATTCAGATGGCGACTGAAGTGCAACCTATATTACCTGAGAAAGGCCCATGTCAACTGCACTGTGGTGTGCCGTGTTACTGTGGGGAAAATATGGAAGGCAAAGAAACAGTTATCATGAGGGACTGTCCCAGCAGATGTCTGGAACAACAGTCAAGTCTAGTATATACTGTACTCATACCAGAGTTAGGCTACCAGCTAAATTAGCAGTGGTTCTGGAGACTTAGTGGATTGGAGCTGTAATTATGCCATTCCTTCTCAGATCAGTAATAACCATCTCCTTTTCTCAATGTGAGTATGACGGTGTTTTTTATTAACTGCATGCATCTGCAGAGTGTTAGCTGTTTGATTTTATAGTCCCAAGTTTTAAAGGATCAAAAGGAGAAGCAGGAGACAAGGGACAAAGAGGAAATACAGGACCTTCAGGGATTGCAGGACCTATAGGAGAAAGAGGCCCCCCTGGCCCAGTAGGTATAACTGGATCTCCAGGATCTGGAGGAACTGCAGGAAAAAGAGGCCCCACTGGCCCTGTAGGTCCACCTGGATCTCCAGGAGGAAGTGGCCGCCCTGGCCCTGTAGGTCCACCTGGATCTCCAGGAGGAAGAGGCCCCCCTGGCCGGCCAGTAGGTATAACTGGATCTCCAGGATCTGGAGGAACTGCAGGAAAAAGAGACCCTCTTCCCCTGGATATCCAGGAGGAAGTGACCCCCCTGGCCCTGTAGGTCCACCTGGACCTCCAGGAGGAAGTGGCCGCCCTGGCCCTGTAGGTCCACCTGGATCTCCAGGAGGAAGAGGCCCCCCTGGCCCAGTAGGTATAACTGGATCTCCAGGATCTGGAGGAACTGCAGGAGAAAGAGGCCCCACTGGCCCAGTAGGTCCACCTGGATCTCCAGGAGGAAGTGGCCGCCCTGGCCCTGTAGGTCCACCTGGATCTCCAGGAATTGCAGGATCTGGAGGAACTCCAGGAGAAAGAGGCCCCACTGGCCCTGTAGGGAGAAGAGGGGCACAGGGAAGGAGAGGTGTGCAGGGAACTAAGGGAGAGAACGGTGAGAAGGGACCACCAGGAGTAGCAAAGGGGGACAGAGGAAGCCAGGGAGTACGTGGGGAGAAAGGAGATAAAGGTACACAGGGACCGTCAGGATACCGAGGACCACCGGGACAAAAGGGAGAGTTGGGACAACCTGGAGACAAGGGAGAAAGAGGATACCGAGGATTACAAGGAGACAAGGGAGAGGCTGGATCCCAAGGACCGCGGGGCCCTGCTGGTCTAGATGCCTCACCTGGATCCCCAGGAGAACCAGGATTTGAAGGACCATCAGGAGAACATGGAGATCCAGGCCAACAAGGTCCACGTGGTTTGACTGGGAGAAACGGTTTACCTGGATACCCTGGGGCAGTGGACGGCCGGGAACACCTGGTAAACCAGGAATACCAGGAGAGAATGGAGAGAAGGGAGATCATGGAACTTGTGAATGTGAAGGAGCATCAGTCCCTGGATCACAAGGAGCACCAGTTCTCTCAGGCACAGGAGGAGCTGTCTATGTTCGCTGGGGGAGGACTGTGTGTCCCATTGACCAGGGAACTCAACTAGTGTATTCTGGGAGAGCTGGAGGGACAGATGGAGGGGCTGACCATCTCTGCATGCCAATAACTCCCGAGTACCTTCAGTTCACCAGTGGGAACCAGGGAGTTCCCCTACATGGAGTGGAGTATCGAGCCGGAGACAATAGCTCACTGTCCAGTGTTGAAAACCACAACGTTCCGTGTGCTCTGTGCTACACCACCACACGAGTCACAGTGGTCATGATCCCAGCCAAAGTCAACTGCCCAACTAACTGGACTATGGAGTACAATGGCTACCTCATGACCTCACACTCCAACAACCATCGCTCGACGTACCAGTGTGTGGACAGGGACCCTGAGACTGTTGCAGATACCAGCAGTGAGCAGAGTTCTGATGATGCTCTCTTCTACCACGTGGAGGCAGTCTGCACTGGAAACTACTGCCCTCTGTATCGCGACAATGGAAAGGAGCTCACCTGTGTGGTCTGCTCTCGCTGAACTTGCTGATTGCTACAAGACTGTTATGCATGTAGAAGCACGTACTTCATGTTGTACTAGTGAGTATAGTGGCACAGCCACTTTGAGTGATATTAAATTTGCAATGCACATTCGCCATGCGTGCATGCACAACAGTTCACAGACAGAGGATGTGGTGGCTCCGTAACTCATACAATCATACGGAATGTGTTTATAAAAAAATTAATAGTGAGTGAAACAAGCTCTACATCTAGTCGTCTGAATTGTGTGGCACTACATGTATCGTAATGGTTCTAAATAAGCTTGCGAAAATTGAACTCCTGATATTTTCACTAGCGAAAAATGCTCATTCTACTTTTTATCTACTAGTCATGCACCCGAGATATCTGGCATTTTTGGTGAGTGAAGCGAGCAGTTCGATTTTTCACGTGTTTCATGTGTATTTAGAATAACATATTACTGTATGTGTGGCAGTGCCCATACATATATACAGAAAAATTTCGCATTCAGACGACTCGTTTCACTTGCCAATAATGCAGCTACAGCTTATTCCAGTCTTCCAATGGGATGGATAGAACATGTTTAAGCATAGATGCTGACAAATTTGTCTGCAGAGGAGACAGTCTCCCGCCACTAGCAGACCTACCAACACCCAATCCTCCCTCTTCTCTTACTGTGAGACCTCATCATCAGTAACAGCAAACAGTAAAAATAGTTTCTCTCCTCACAGTCAAACTGGTAGATGCTGACAAGTTTGTCTACACTCACTGGCTAAGAGGTATGCACTCAAATTTATAGGGCCAGCATAGTGTAATACAAATTATAGAGTGCTACCCGCGATTATCAATCCTTGATACGTTTCACAGGGTTTGCTTAGTCGTGTGGCACAATTTACACTTCCCCCAATTTCATTTCCTGTATACATAGCTGATTGAGTGGTTACAGTATGTAAACTTCCTACTGTTCACCCTGACCACTGTTCATTTGTGTCGGCCCTGCTGCCTCTTGGTTCAAGTACTCTGCTGTCCATTGGCTGGGACTGCCACATGCTCACCAGACTCACTAATGGAGAGGTCTTCCCCATGGAGGACAGTCAGCCTCAGTGTGGGTTCAAGCTGGGGCCATCCACTACTACAGAGTATCTTCCTCTGTCAGTGTGTGGGGTTGCAGGCTTTGGAGTCCTCGTGTTGTTCACAAACACTAATAGAGATGTGGACATCACTTACTACACCTTCTTACCCACTGACACTTCTTAGACATCCTAATTCTGTTTTTCCTGCACAATTGTACATGCTTAGTGAAAATATTGTGATAAGATCATTGCCTAAAACAACTAAGTATCCCTAAATGCTAATCCATGACATCCTCTGACGTAAAATGACTCTGCTTCTTGCCAGTATAAATGGGATATCCTACTCCCCTCTACCATACACACGTCTGAGAGCTTCTGTCATATCGAGTTTTCACAGAAGATGGAGTTGCCAAAGTGTGCCTTGATTCTAGCAACAATATTAGTTGCTTTTTCTATTTCCTTTGCCCAAAATGAAGGTGAGAGAAGCAAGTTTCTGAGAATTCAATGTACACTAAGAAATGATGCCTGTGTGATCCCATCACAGGTGGTAGCCAAGTAAGTGTCCACCAAGTGGAGGTACTGAGAGGTAGGGATGGGAGAGATGGAGTGAGAGGTCCAGTTGGAGCACCTGGACCAACAGGTGTGTCTGGAGATAAGGGAGAGAAGGGATGTGAGGGACCAGAGGGAGAGAGAGGGATTGCGGGACCTCGGGGAATTGTGGGTCTCAAGGGGATGACTGGAAGCAAGGGAGACAGTGGAGACCCTGGTCAGCCTGGACCTCAGGGACCTCAGGGAGGAACTGGTGACAAAGGAGATCGCGGGGACACTGGACTAACTGGACCTCAGGGACCACTAGGAGCCCCAGGTCCTCTTGCCATGGGAGGAGCTGTCTATATTCGCTGGGGGAGGACTGTTTGTCCCAGTGACCAGGGAACTGAGCTGGTGTACTCTGGGAGAGCTGGAGGGAGTTGATATGATCACCAAGGAGGAGGTGCCAACCATCTCTGTATGCCAGATGATCCTGAACACTTGCAGTATACTAGTGGAGTAAACGGAAATAGCTACATGTATGGAGTTGAATATCGACCAGTCAGCTCTCAACCGTTACAAACTGTTCTTTACCACAATGTTCCATGTGCTGTGTGCCATGTCACAACACGGGCTACACTGTTGATGATTCCAGCTAAAGTCAACTGCCCCACAAACTGGACCACAGAGTACACTGGATACTTGATGTCTTCACACAAAGATCAGTATCGTTCCACATATGAATGTGTGGACAAAGATCCCGAATCTGTTGCTGGACTAAATGGTTTTAATGACTATCAAGCTTTCCTCTACCATGTGGAACCCATTTGTACTGGGATATCCTGTCCACCATATGATAGTGAGAAGGAGCTCACCTGTGTGGTGTGCTCTCGTTGATAACCTATCTATCGATAATATACACAATGTGCACTTCCTTTGATGATGATTATCTCATGCTGATAAACCCTCAAAATTGTCACAGGGAGAGATAGTGTAGATAGCAAAGCAAAATACTGTACTCCTTTGTTCACATTACGTATGTAAGTCCTTCTTACTTGTGGAGCTGAGGAAGAATGAGTTGTGGACATGTTGTGAAAAATCTTGTGGAAGAGAAACAAACAAGACAGTAAAGTAGCTAGCTCTCAATAGGGGAGTTGGTGGACAATCAGGATGCTACATTAATATTCCCAAGGTGTGATCAGCCTACACATACGCTAAGCTGACTACTCACAAACATTAAGTTTTCACTATGGCATGTGTTGTGAAAGTCATCAAGACATTGATAGTTCACAGAGCCATGGAACACTACCTTACTACATGTCTCAACAACTTGGTAGCGAGGTAGAAAGGCAAGGCAAGGCAAACAAGTCAACTACACCCAGGACAGCTCTAAGAAAAGAAGAAGAGTTGCTCTGGGTGGCATGGTGTACTTGATGTAATGTATAATCCTGCAACCTATGCACAATAAACATAGGCGATGAGTACTAATCACCATCCATTAGAAAAGTGGTATAATTGACCCATTTACTGTAGGAATGTTATCATGGATTCTCAAAGCAGGTCTGAGCATTCCCTATGCTCACTAAACCATCAGAGTAACAAAGGCTGAGTTCAGAGAATGGACATGGAAGTTTGTACAGTACATGTGGTCCAGTTTGCCACAAAATTTCGGGTTATGATAATTGGATGGGAATTGTGTCTGCAGAGGAGAGTCAAGGTGTGCTTTCTCACAAATTGTATATTTGCCCTAGGAGGCTTGGAAAAGGATCCATAACATCATGAGAGAGGGAAGCAGAGTACTCACGTTCAGCAACATCAAGATCACAGAGTAACCAGAGTACAGTATGGTAATGGTTGAGTGCAGGGAGAGGAGATCAAGTTGCATGGACGTTTGTACAGTACATGTGGTCCAGATTAGACTATACTTAGCTATCTCTACAATGCTCTCATGCAAAGTCAGACCAGACCTCTTAAAGCATGACTCAGTTCTTGAGTAATTGAATCCTAAAAATGGATGGTGCAGCTTTGAGATTCTGTTAGGTAGGGGGAAAAAACAGGGAAGATGAATATAGGCTCACATTGTTAGTAAGCCAGAGAGTTTACTGGAGTGAGAGTTCGATCAGTCCTGCTGCTCTCTTCAGCACCCTGACAGCTAAGAAAAGAGTACAAAAGTTTTTGTAAGAGATCCTCCTAGTAGCAATGTCCGAGACCATCTGAACCTCGCAAGAGTCGCATGAGCATCGATAACCAGCTGCTGTTTACACACTGTCTCCCCCACTGTTTCTCTACCAGTGGTTCTCAGAGTACTCTGCCTCCCTCTCTCATGATGTTATTGCTCCTTTTCCCCCAGCATTCCGTAGTGACATTGCTGCCTATCACTGGTCTCAGCTCCTGTAGTTTGTACAGCTACTTTCACCTGAACTATTCAGCTCTGTTTTCCTGTGAGTCTATCTTGGCTTTGATGATGTTCAATCTCAATCTTCTTTGACTACGACCCCAGTTATCTTCAAGGGAAACCACTCAGTGTGTTGTGGACATTTCACATATGCACCATGGTTTAGCTCGAATACTGTGACATGAGGTCGTCTTGATGACTTTAATGTCACAGGTCATAATAATGTTTGTGAGTATATACCATGTTTAGTTTAGGCTGAATAACTATACTGTAGCATCATAGATTTTTTTATCATACAGTACATGACACTATTCATAATCATTTTTACACTTTCTATAATAAATTTTTTTTTGCAGCTATGGCACAGCACTGCAGTATGGACAATAGATTGCACTAGTATGAACTTATTGAGCGAAATACACAAGTATGAAGTACCAAGTTCTTGAGGTAATACGTCATTATGTCTTGGGGACCTTTCTTTTCTATTTATTTGAGCTTATAAAAAGGCCCCGGAGCCTGCAATACCTAACCTGAATGCAGCCTAGGTACCCAATCACTATGCCTGCAGCCAATATCATTTTTATTCGGATCCTCTGCTACCCTAGACTTGTAGCCGGGCACTTTTGCAGGGTAAGGAGAAAGAGCCTAGTACAAATGTGCATTATTATGCCTGTATGCGGTGTACATATTATGATGAACACTAGCTACCACTAGTGACATGCACACTACACTGTCTTACCGGACATACTTGTCACTCTGAAACATTTCAAAGTCACTGTGAGCCACAAGCAGTCCATAGATGGTAAACTAGGTCCAGCTGATTCTCTCGTGTGCGTTGGATGCTGTCGTGGAAAGAAAATGTGGGAGTATAATATCGAAACACCTTACTACTTAAATTTCTAATCCCTTTTAAGCTTCTACCCCACATGGTTTACTTACCTGGTGCAGTGAGCTTTATCCGAAATCTTGAAAGTAATCCACTGAAGGTTGATGCTGCCCCTGGGTGTCCATCTGGGGTGTGACCACGAGGGTGTGTTGTTGTGTCTTGCAATGTCGTGCCTCCTCTGAAAATATCTGGAACAGTTTGAACAGGCAAAGTTTGCATGATCCAGCATTCAATTTGCTGCTTCTGACCGCCACATTGCTTCGGACTCAAACAACGGCTGCTTGGCAGAGCTTGTTGTGCATAATGGGTTTATACATTCAGATGGCCACTGAAGTGCAACCTATATTACCTGAGAAAGGCCCATGTCAACTGCACTGTGGTGTGCTGTGTTACTGTGGGTAAAATATGGGAGGCAAAGAACACAACGTTATCACGAGGGACTGTCCCAGCAGATGTCTGGAACAATAGTCAAGTCTAGTATATACTCCATACCAGAGTTAGGCTATATATACCAGCTAAATTAGCAGTGGTTCTGGAGACTTAGTGGATTGGAGCTGTAATCATGCCATTCCTTCTCAGATCCTTAATTGTGGCAACACTTCTAGCAGCAGTAATCACTGTCTCCTTTCTCAATGTAAGGAAGAATGAAGGTGTTCTTTACTGACTAATTCTGTAGCTGTCGTTTTTTGTACATGATTTCTATCTATTTATTTTATAACTATGTGTAAGGGAGGTTGGGACACTGGGTGTGTAGGGAGAGTTGGGCCCATAAAAGACTCTTTAACCTACCGCCCCGGTTCTCAAGGCTGGGCACCCAGGGTCCTGCCTCTTTCTTTCTGTTTATATGTTATTGTCTGTGTTTTTGTACGCTTGGGTATGTTATTGTCTGTGTTTTGTGTGCTTGGGTGGGGGAGGTTCTTTCTTTTCCTCTGAGCTAGTATGCTATAAACATGTTTTTTCATGCATCTGCAGAGTGTTAGTGATGTTTGACTATATAAATGAACAGATGCATCACCAGTACCAAGTGGGCCTATAAAAGGAGAAGCAGGAGAAAAGGGACGAAGTGGAAATGCAGGACCTGGAGGATCTCCAGGAAAAAGTTGCCCCACTCCCCTAGTACGTCAACCTGGATCTCCAAGGATTCCAGGACCTGGAGGATCTCCAAAAGAAAGTTGCCGCCCTGGCTCAGTAGGTCCAACTGGACCTCAAGGGATTGCAGGATCTGCAGGATCTCCAGGAAAAAGTGGCCCCCCTGGCCGAGTAGGTCCAACTGGATCTCCAGGGATTCCAGGATCTGTAGGATCTCCAGGAGAAAATGGCCCCCCTGGCTCATTAGGTCCACGTGGATCTCCAGGGATTCCAGGATCTGTAGGATCTCCAGGAGAAAGTGGCCCCCCTGGCTCATTAGGTCCACGTGGATCTCCAGGGATTCCAGGATCTGTAGGATCTCCAGGAGAAAGTGGCCCCCCTGGCTCCTTAGGTCCACCTGGATCTCCAGGGATTCCAGGATCTGTAGGATCTCCAGGCGAAAGTGGCCCCCCTGGCTCATTAGGTCCACCTGGATCTCCAGGGATTGCAGGATCTGTAGGATCTCCAGGCGAAAGTGGCCCCCCTGGCTCATTAGGTCCAACTGGATCTCCAGGGATTGCAGGATCTGTAGGATCTCCAGGCGAAAGTGGCCCCCCTGGCTCATTAGGTCCAACTGGACCTCCAGGGATGAATGGGGCACAGGGCAGGAGAGGTGTACAGGGAACTAAGGGAGAGAACGGTGAAAAAGGAGTTATAGGACGACCAGGCCCAACTGGACCTCAAGGGGAATATTGGAGCTCAGGGACCGAAAGGACAACCCGGAGAGAGAGGGTTTCAAGGACTAGGATCAACAGGACAACCAGGAGAGAGAGGGTACCCTGGACCACAAGGAGACCCTGGAGGTAAAGGAGTGAAAGGAGAAAAAGGGGAGGCAGGAGCAGCAAAGGGGGACAGAGGAAGCCAGGGAGTACGTGGGGAGAAAGGAGATGAAGGTACACAGGGACCATCAGGATACCCAGGACCACCGGGACAAAAGGGAGAGTTGGGACAACCTGGAGACAAAGGAGAAAGAGGATACCGAGGATTACAAGGAGACAAGGGAGATGAAGGATCCCAAGGACCGCGGGGCCCTGCTGGTCGAGACGGCTTACCTGGATCTCCAGGAGAACCAGGACTTGAAGGACCATCAGGAGAACATGGAGATCCAGGCCCACAAGGTCCACGTGGTTTGTCTGGGAGAAACGGTTTACCTGGATACCCTGGGGCAGTTGGACGGCCGGGAACACCTGGTAAACCAGGAATACCAGGAGAGAATGGAGAGAAGGGAGATCATGGAACTTGTGAATGTGAAGGAGCACCAGCCCCTGGATCACAAGGAGCACCAGTTCTCTCAGGCACAGGAGGAGCTGTCTATGTTCGCTGGGGGAGGACTGTGTGTCCCATTGACCAGGGAACTCAACTAGTGTACTCTGGGAGAGCTGGAGGGACACATGGAGGGGCTGACCATCTCTGCATGCCAAACGCTCCCGAATACCTTCAGTTCACCAGTGGGAACCAGGGAGTTCCCCTACATGGAGTGGAGTATCGAGCCGGAGACAATAGCTCACTGTCCAGTGTTGAAAACCACAACGTTCCGTGTGCTCTGTGCTACACCACCACACGAGTCACAGTGGTCATGATCCCAGCCAAAGTCAACTGCCCAACTAACTGGACTATGGAGTACAATGGCTACCTCATGACCTCACACTCCAACAACCATCGCTCGACGTACCAGTGTGTGGACAGGGACCCTGAGACTGTTCCAGGCACCAGCAGTGAGCAGAGTTCTGATGATGCTCTCTTCTACCATGTGGAGGCAGTCTGCACTGGAGACTACTGCCCTCTGTATTGTGACAATGGAAAGGAGCTCACCTGTGTGGTCTGCTCTCGCTGAACTTGCTGATTGCTTCAAGACTGTTATACACATAGATGCACCGCTACAAGACTGTTATGCATGTAGAAGCACGTACTTCATGTTGTACTAGAGAGTATAGTGGCACAGCCACTTTGAGTGATGTTAAATTTGCAATGCACATTCGCCATGCGCGCATGCACAACAGTTCACAGACAGAGGATGTGGTGGCTCCGTAACTCATACAATCATACGGAATGAGTTTATAAAAAGTAATAGTGAGTGAAACAAGCTCTACATCTGGTCATCTGAATTGTGTGGTACTTAATGATTCTAAATACACTTGCGAAAATTGAACTCCTGATATTTTCACTAGCGAAAAAATGCATTGCGTTCATTCGACACACGGTGGTCTTGGTAAGGTGTTGCCCTTAGTGTGGCTGAGTGTCCAACACATGTGCAGATTAGCCCTAGCCCTAAAGAATTAGCTAGAACCAAGGAAACAGGCTTTTTACAGTTGCTGCCAGAATTAGGCACGAGTGTAGGGTCGAATACAAGCACCTTAAACTCACAATTCTGATTTCCAAACTTCAAAATGTTAAAGCTTCCAAACATCATAGCTAACTTCAAAAGATATAGCTAGCTTCCAAACTTCGTAACTTCAAAATTTAAACTTCATAACTTCATAATTGTATATACAGGTTCCAAACTTCATAACTTCAACATTTTGTAGCTTCCAAACCAAATAGCTCCATAATGTTAAAGGTTCCAAACTTCAAAGCTTCCAAATTTATTAACTTCAAAATGATGCAACTTCCAAACCAGTTAGCTATTGGACTTCCAAACTCTTAAAAACATTAACATACCAAATTAATTAATATGCATTGTCCTTTTTCCTCAGAGGATGATGATATGGACTAAGAAAAATGCTATTCAGGAACTGGTTGCTACATGCCTGCAACGAAAAGGCCAACGTGCTACTGCCATTCACGTCCTCAACAGCCTATAATTATACTGAAGCTCCCAGAATCAATCATCGCCATAGTTCACATTTTATGCACACTCTTATGTTCATTTCTTGTGCACTCAGAAAAGTTATAGGTTTAATGCTTCATGTGTATGTCTGATGGCATTCTACTGTTTTTTTCACTATAATATTATAGCTGTGATACTCCAAAGAGCCCGGTATATATATACCCCAAGTAGATCAAAATAGTCATATACGAATATCCCTTGAGGGAATACTTCCGAATGTGCTCCTAAAGTCTGTCTTTTGTGGCTGCGACATTTTCCGTTCATGTTTTGTTACAGCCCGACGCGCGACTAGTCTCGTGCCCAGACCCCGCCCCCTCGTTCCGCGCGCTAGTCTCCTGCGCGCCCAGACGACACCGCGGGACCGCCATCTAAACCCTGCATGCAGTGTAGCGCAATTTGGAAGTAGTATATACAATTTGGAAGTGATACAATTTGGAAGTAGTACCATTTGGAAGTGGTACAATTTGGAAGTGGTACAATTTGGAAGTGAGAAGTAGCACGATTTGGAAGTGCGCACAGCCCCAATGGGCTTCCGTAATTTAGAATGACATACAACATTACAGTATGTGTGGCAGTGCCCATACATATTATACAGAAAAAATTCGCATTCAAACGACTAGGAGGACTCGCTTCGCTTACCAATAATGCAGCTACAGCTTATTCCAGTCTTCCAATGGAATGGATAGAACATGTTTAAGCATTGGTATAATAGAGATGCTGACAAACTCGTGTGCAGAGGAGACAGTCTCCCACCACTAGCAGACCTACCAACACTCAGTCCTCCCTCTTCACCTACTGTGAGACTACATCACCAGTAACAGACTGCCACCTACTCTTCTGGCAAGAGATTGAGCCAATAATGGAGAGGTCTTCCCCATGGAGGACAGTCAGCCTCAGTGTGGGTTCAAGCTGGGGCCATCCACTACTACAGAGTATCTTCCTCTGTCAGTGTGTGGGGTTGCAGGCTTTGGAGTCCTCGTGTTGTTCACAAACACTAATAGAGATGTGGACATCACTTACTACACCTTCTTACCCACTGACACTTCTTAGACAGGATCCTAATTCTGTTTTTTCCCCTGCACAATTGTACATGCTCAGTGCAAATATTGTGATAAGATCATTGCCTAAAACAACTAAGTATCCCTAAGAGCTAATCCATGACATCCTCTGACGTAAAATGACTCTGCTTCTTGCCAGTATAAAAGGGATGTCCTAGTCCCCATATACACACGTGTGAGAGCTTCTGTCATACAATATTATCGAGTTTTGGCAGAAGATGGAGTTACCAAAGTGTGCCTTGATTCTAGCAACAATATTAGTTGCTTTTTCTATTTCCTTTGCCCAAAATGAAGGTGAGAGAAGCAAGTTTCCGAGAATTCAATGTAAGAAAATGATGCCTGGGTGCCATCACAGGAGGTAGTCAAGTAAGTGTCCACCAAGTGGAGGTACTGAGAGGTAGGGATGGGAGAGATGGAGTGAGAGGTCCAGCTGGACCACCAGGTCCACCTGGACCTACAGGAGTGGGTGGAGATAAGGGAGAGAAGGGATGTGAGGGACCACAGGGAGAGAGAGGGATAACGGGACCTCGGGGAATTGTGGGTCTCAAGGGGATGACTGGAAGCAAGGGAGACAGTGGAGACACTGGTCAGCCTGGACCTCAGGGACCACAGGGAGGAACTGGTGACAAAGGAGATCGCGGGGACACTGGACTAACTGGACATCAGGGACAACTAGGAGCCCCAGGTCCTCTGGCCATGGGAGGAGCTGTCTATGTTCGCTGGGGGAGGACTGTTTGTCCCAGTGGCCAGGGAACTGAGCTGGTGTACTCTGGGAGAGCTGGAGGGAGTCACCGTGGTAACAGTGGAGGAGGTGCTAACCATCTCTGTATGCCAGATGATCCTGAACACTTGCAGTATACTAGTGGAACACAAGGATACAGCTACATGTATGGAGTGGAGTATCGACCAGTCAGCTCTCAACCGTTACAAACTGTTAATTACCACAATGTTCCATGTGCTGTGTGCCATGTCACAACACGGGCTACACTGTTGATGATTCCAGCTAAAGTCAACTGCCCCACAAACTGGACCACAGAGTACACTGGATACTTGATGACTGGAAACAGTGGTCATTATCGTTCCACATATGAATGTGTGGACAAGGATCCCGAATCTGTTGTTGGACTAAATGGTGCTGATAGCAGTCAAGCTCTCCTCTACCATGTGGAACCCATTTGTTCTGGGTTGTCCTGTCCACCATATGATAGTGGGAAGGAGCTCACCTGTGTGGTGTGCTCTCATTGAAAACTTATCTATCAATATACTGCTGTGTACTTCGTTTGATGATGATTATCTCATGCTGATAAATCCTCAAAATTATCATAGGGAGAGATAGTGTAGATAGCAAAGCAAAATACTGTACTCCTTTGTTCACATTACGTATGTAAGTTCTTCTTACTTGTGGAGCTGAGGAAGAATGGGTTGTGGACATGACGTGAAAATCTTGTGGAAGAGAAACAAACAAGACAGCAAGTAGCTACTCTCAGTAGGGGAGTTGGTGGACAATCAGGATGCTACATTAATATTCCCAAGGTGCGATTAGCCTACACATATGCTAAGCTGACTACTCACAAACATGAAGTTCCACTATGGCATGTGTTGTGAAAGTCATCAAGACATCTTAGTCATGAGTTCACACAGAGCCATGGAACACTACCCTACTGCATGGTGTACTTGATGTAATGTAATAATCCTGCAACCTATGCACAATAAACATAGGTGATGAGTACTGATCACCATTCATCTAACATGGTTACATTCATTAAAAAGTGGTATAATTCAGAACCCATTGACTATAGGAATGCTATCATGGATTCTCAAAGCAGGTCTGAGCATTCCCATTGCTCACTAAACCATCAGAGTAACAAATGGCTGAGTCCAAGGAATGGACATGGAAGTTTGTACAGTACATAATGTTCCAGTTGCCACAAATATTCCTTTGTGTAGGATGGTTCTTATGAGAATTGGATGGGAAATGTTTCTGCAGAGCTATAGATGAGTAACAAAAGGAGAGTCACAGTACAGTATGTTGGTGGCTGAGTGCAGGGAGAGTTGCATGGAAGTTTGTTCACTTACATGTGGTCCAGTTTAGACTATACTTAGCCATCTATACAATGTTCTCTTGAAAAGTCAGACCAGACCTCTTAAAGATAATCTGCATGACTCAGTTCCTTGAGTAATTGAATCCTAAAAATGGATGGTGCAGCTTTGAGATTCTGTTAGGTAGGGGAAAAACAGGGAAGATGAATATAGGCTCACATTGTTAGTAAGCCAGAGAGTTTACTGGAGTGAGAGTTTGATCAGTCTTGCTGCTCTCTTCAGCACCCTGACAGCTAAGAAAAGTTTTTGTAAGAGATCCTCCTAGTAGCAATGTCCGAGACCATCTGAACCTCGCAAGAGTCGCAGCATCGATAACCAGCTGCTGTTTACACACTATCTCCCCCACTGTTTCTCTACCAGTGGTTCTCAGAGTACTCTGCCTTCCTCTCTCATGATGTTATCGCTCCTTTTCCCAGCATTCCCTCGTGACATCGCTGCGTGACATCGCTGCCTATCAGTGGTTCTGTAGTTAGTACAGCTCCCTACACTTGGGACAGACAGTATGTAAACACATGTCGTGTTTGCTTATCCATGCTACACATTCCAGTATACATGTAGCTAAATTGAAGCAACCCTGGTGCTAATGTAGTTACAGTATGTAGTGTTCACTGTAACATTCTGTAGGTCACTGTTCATTTGTATCGTCCCTGCTGCCTCTTGGTCCAAGTACTCTACTGTCCATTGGCTGGGACTGCCACATGCTCTTCTGGCAAGAGATTGAGCTAATAAGACTCACTAATGGAAAGGTCTTCCCCATTGAGGACATGTAAAAGAGAGGGATAACAGGACCTCGGGGAATTGTGGGTCTCAAGGGGATGACTGGAAGCAAGGGAGATCGCGGGGACACTGGACTCCCTGGACCTCAGGGAGAACGCAGAGCTCCAGGTCCTCTGGCCATGGGAGGAGCTGTCTATGTTCGCTGGGGGAGGACTGTTTGTCCCAGTGGCCAGGGAACGGAGCTGGTGTACTCTTGAGGACATGTAAGTTCTTCTTAATTGTGGAGCTGAGGAAGAATGGGTTGTGGACATGACGTGAAATATCTTGTGGAAGAGAAACAAACAAGACAGTAAGTAGCTAGCTCTCAGTAGGGGAGTTGGTGGACAATCAGGATGCTACATTAATATTCCCAAGGCGGGATTAGCCTACACAAACGCTAAGCTGACTACTCACAAACATTAAGTTGTCACTATGGCATGTGTTGTGGAAGTCATCAAGACATCGATAGTCATGAGATCACAGAGCCATGGAACACTACCCTACTGCATGGTGTACTTGATGTAATGTAATAATCCTGCAACCTATGCATAGGTGATGAGTACCAATCACCATCCATCTAACATGGTTGCATTCTTAGAAAAGTGGTATGTATAATTGACCCATTTACTATAGGAATGCTATCATGGATTCTCAAAGCAGGCCTGAGCATTCCCTATGCTCACTAAACCATCATAGACAAACGGCTGAGTCAAGGGAATGGACAGTTTGTACAGTACATGTGGTCCACATGCAGTTTGCCACAAATATTGCTTTGCATAGGATGGTTCTTAGTAGGTCTGTCTGGGTTATGATAATTGGATGGGAAATTGTCTGCAGAGCTATCGCTGAGTAACAAAAGGAAAGTCAAGGTTTGCTTTCTCAGAGAAGGCTGGGAAAGAGCAATAACATCATGAGAGGGAGGTAGAGTAGCTACTCTCATTCAGTAATATCGAGATCAGAGTCGCCAGAACAGTGTGGTGATGGCTGAGTGCAGGGAGAGTTGCATGCAAGTTTGTACAGTTACATGTGGTCCAGTTTAGACTATACTTCGCCATCTATACAATGCTCTCTTGCAAAGTCAGACCAGACCTCTTCATATAATCTGCATCAGTTCCTTTTGTAATTGCACCTGAAATGTGGATGGTGGAGCTTTGACAAAATGGGGAGATGGATAGGCTCACATTGTTAGTGTATCTTTTACTGTAGCTAGAGGGTTCATTAGAGTGAGCCGAACAGACCTGCTCTCTTGAGCACCCTGACAGCTAAGAAGAGAGCAAAAATGTTTTGTTAGAGATCCTCCTAGTAACAATGTCCGAGACCATCTGAACCTCGCAAGAGTCGTTGTGTGTCGATAACCAGCTGCTGTTTACACACTGTCTCCCCCACTGTTTCTCTACCAGTGGTTCTCAGAGTACTCTGCCTCCCTCTCTCATGATGTTATCGCTCCTTTTCCCAGCATTCCGTAGTGACATTGCTGCCTATCACTGGTCTCAGCTCCTGTAGTTTGTACAGCTACTTTCACCTGAATTATTCAGCTCTGCTTTCCTGTGAGTCTATCTTGGCTTTGATGATGTTCAATCTCAATCTTCTTTGACTACGACCCCAGTTATCTTCAAGGGAAACCACTCAGTGTGTTGTGGACATTTCACATATGCACCATGGTTTAGCTCGAATACTGTGACATGAGGTCGTCTTGATGACTTTAATGTCACAGGTCATAATAATGTTTGTGAGTATATACCCTGTTTAGTTTAGGCTGAATACCTATACTGTAGCATCATAGATTTTTTATCATACAGTACATGACACTATTCATAATCATTTTTACACTTTCTATAATAAAATTTTTTTGCAGCTATGGCACAGCACTGCAGTATGGACAATAGATTGCACTAGTATGAACTTATTGAGCGAAATACACAAGTATGAAGTACCAGGTTCTTGAGGTAATACGTCATTATGTCTTGGGGACCTTTCTTTTCTATTTATTTGAGCTTATAAAAAGGCCCCCGGAGCCTGCAATACCTAACCTGAATGCAGCCTAGGTACCCAAATCAATATGCCTGCAGCCAATATCATTTTTTATTCGGATCCTCTGCTACCCTAGACTTGTAGCCGGGCACTTTTGCAGGGTAAGGAGAAAGAGTCTAGTACAAATGTGCATTATTATGCCTGTATGCGGTGTACATAATGATGAACACTAGCTACCACTAGCGACATGCGCACTACACTGTCTTACCGGACATACTTGTGACTCTGAAACATTTCAAAGTCACTGTGAGCCACAAGCAGCCCATAGATGGTAAACTGTAGCTACGTATGATGAACACTAGCTACACATACACACTACACTGTCTTATCGGACATATACATACTTGTCACTCTGAAACCCCATAGATGGTAAACTAGGTCCAGCTGATTCTCTCGTGTGCGTTGGACGCTTAAAACCTAGAGTCGTGGAAATAAAATGTGGGAGTATAATATCAAAACACCTTACTACTTAAATTTCTAATTCCTTTTAAGCTTCTACCGTACATGGTTTACAACAAACCTTACCTGGTGCAGTGAGCTTGATCCGAAATCTTGGTTATTTAAATCTTGAAAGAAATCCACTGAAGGTTGATGCTTTTCTTTCTGCCCCTGGGTGTCCATCTGGGGTGTGACCACGAGGGTGTGCTGTTGTGTCTTGCAATGTCGTGCCTCCTCTGAAAATATCTGGAACAGTTTGGACAGCCAAAGTTTGCATGATCCAGCATTCAATTTGCTGCTTCTGACCACCACGTTGCTTCGGACTCAAACAACGGCTGCTTGGCAGAGCTTCTTATGCATAATGGGTACATTCAGATGGCCACTGAAGTGCAACCTATATTACCTGAGAAAGGCCCATGTCAACTGCACTGTGGTGTGCTGTGTTACTGTGGGTAAAATATGGGAGGCAAAGAACACAACGTTATCACGAGGGACTGTCCCAGCAGATGTCTGGAACAATAGTCAAGTCTAGTATATACTCCATACCAGAGTTAGGCTCTCAGCTAAATTAGCAGTGGTTGTGGAGACTTAGTGGATTGGAACTGTAATCATGCCATTCTTTCTCAGATCCTTAATAATTGTGGCAACACTTCTAGCAGCAGTAATCACTATCTCCTTTTCTCAACGTAAGGAAGAATGAAGGTGTTCTTTACTGACTAATTTAATGCATCCGCAGAGTGTTAGCTATGTTTGAATTATGAACAGATGGACCACCTGAAGGATACACAGGAGAAGCAGGAGAAAAGGGAGAAAGAGGCCCCCCTGGCCCAGTAGGTCCACCTGGATCTCCAGGAGAAAGAGGCCCCCCTGGCCTAGTAAGTCGAACTGGATCTCCAGGAGAAAGAGGCCCCCCTGGCCCAGTAGGTCGAACTGGATTTCAAGGAGAAAGAGGCCCCCCTGGCCCAGTAGGTCCACCTGGATCTCCAGGAGAAAGAGGCCCCACTGGCCCAGTAGGTCCACGTGGATCTCCAGGAATAAAAGGGGCACAGGGCAGGAGAGGTGTGCAGGGGACTCAGGGAGAGAACGGTGAAAAGGGAAATATAGGCCCACCAGGCCCAGCTGGAAATACTGGAGCTCAAGGAGATCCAGGAGAGAGAGGGTTCTCTGGACAACCAGGGAATATTGGAGCTCAGGGACTGAAAGGAGAACCCGGAGAGAGAGGGTTCCCTGGAACACAGGGACTGAAAGCACAGAAAGGGTTTCAAGGAACACCAGGACAAACAGGACAAACAGGATCAACAGGAATACAAGGAAAGAGAGGACCAAAAGGAGATCCTGGACCACTAGGACCGGAAGGAGATCCGGGAGATGTAGGGTTCCCA